TTCTATTTGAAACATGAGGACAATATTTGGGGAAATCAATTTTTTAGTCTTTATTTTAAAATGAGTTATGAATCTGTAGAGTATATCTTTAAAACTAAAATACTTAGTATGTCTATGTGTATGATGTCAATTTTTAAAAAGTATTTTTCCATAGAGAAAATTAATTAATTCTGGTTTAAAATTTTAAGCCTTCAATTATTATATTTTCTTGTGAGTATTGGTTGAGGAATATTTGCTCTTTTAAATATAATATAAATGCAGTTATAAAAATATTAAACCAGATTACCTTTCAATTCTTAATCAGTAATAAATATAGTTTATCTGTGCAGATTGCTTTTAGCTTGTAAGATACTTTCACAAATGCTAACTTAACTGATAATTAAAATTATGCATTTTGACTTTAAAGAATTCTTTCAATATATGTCTTTATTAAATTACTGCTCATTCATAGACTTGGGCTTGGCAATAGCATTATAGGTCATTAGATCCAGCTGTAAACCCGGTATGAGGATCACCCATTTCCACATTCCTGATAGGTTGACATCTAATTTCTGTCTGAAAATCTTGAGTGACAGGAAGGTCAATTGGTCAATTGGTAGTTCATTCTATTTTGTTTAGCTGTTAGAGTCTTTTATTTTTCTTAATTAAACCAGATATATTTTCTAACACATATATTTATGTTACACAAACTTTATTTCCAATTATAGTCATTTGGATTCTTGAAGTCATCTATTGTGTCCCCTTTAGCTTAACATTCTTGGTACCTTGATTCCCTGATCAGCGAACATTATTTTCTTTAATTTCTTTACTATCCTGATATACCGTTTTTTATGACATCCCCCCTTTTCCTCTTACGAAGTCACTCCATACTTGACAGGGTGAATGACTGGCCTGGTTAGAGATTTGGAATTTAATACTTTATATTTATTGGTATATACTAGCTTGTAGCATTGTTTTCACTCGGCAGTCTTACTATATTGCTTTAGTTCACAGAAAACATTTGTTCAATTAATCATAGACTCATGAAGAAACTTTGTTAGTTTTACATTTGACTTTATGGAATTAGTTCAGGACTGTATTTATATCCTTGTTAAATTTAAATTTGGTGCCATAGGGCTTGGAATTCTAGGAGACTATTTTTCTCTTTTTGACTACTAATTTTGGCATGAGATATAATTGCTATACTTCTTAGCTTCATGTCCTTCAGAAATTTAATATGTTCGAATAGTTTGGGTTATTACATGCAAAATAAGTGATTGTTTTATCTGAAGCATCTTAGCTGTATTAGTTTTAAATCTGCAGAGATGGTGGTCTAACTCCATGTCTACTGCAACTAGTTGCTGTTTCAGAAACACTGCAATAAGGAATTCAGGAAGATATCCCTGAGAAAATGATGCTAAAATTTAGATCTGAAAGATGACTACATTTAAGGAACTTAAGAGGTGGGAGAGAATAGGCAGAATATTCAATTATAGGGTATGCTGATGGTTTTGTTTTTTAAATAAATCACAATAGGAAGTTTAAAATCTTTAAAGCAAAGGATGACAAAATCGAATTTAATCTAAATCTATGAAAACATTCTGGCTGCATTGTTCAGAGTTGAATGAAGATGATGAAAGTAGACTTATTAAGGCTGGGTTAGACAAGACTGGCAGTGGTAGCAGTAAAGATGAAGCAAGTTGGATAGATTGGAGGGATATTAAGAAGTTAAATCCACAGGGTATGAGGAAAGAATAATAGGGAAGAAAACTGAGATGTCACAGATTACTCTTAAATGTCTGGCTAATGCAACTAGATTGCTGGTGGTATTATTTGTAAAGATGGGTCACTCTGGAAGAAAAATTGGTTCCTGTTAGGATGAGGTAGGCGTTCTTAATTTGTTACAAATATGTTGATTTTGAGATACTTCTGAGATGATGTATTTCAAGAGCCATAAAAAGATATATATCCTTTGACCAAGATATCCCATGTCTCTGGGAATGTAACCTAAAAACAATAGTGTGAAATATAGGGAAAAGTATGTCTGAAAATGTCCTCTGCAGTGTTTTATATTAATAGGAAACATTTTAAGCAGTGTTAATGCTCAAAAATAGAGGAATGATTTAATAAACTTTTGTCAACTTAATAAAAAAATATTATTTAGCCAATTAAACAGTTGTTTTAAAACTCTATAGTGACAACAAAAGTATCCATTTTATAATGCTAACTTATAAAAATAGTTAAAATAATTAGTACTTTACAATTAAAACTGTGTAAAAATGTCCATATGAAATAGAATTAGAAAAATACAAATAATCGCTCAATAAGATATTAGAATTACAGGTGTATATATTGTTCTTATTTAAAAATTAGTAACTGGCTTTAAGTATTAGATTTTTAAAAAGTATTATAAATTTAAGTGCAAGTCTAGTTTCTCAAGATTATAGTTTGTTTTTAATTAAGGTTTGCATTTTTTTCCTGAGATTAGAAATATTTAAAACATAACATTTTCCCAGAAATTTGCAAGAAGTCTTAAATAACTCTTATGATTTCTAATTTATGCCTTTAGGATAGAGGCTGGTCTACTTTATATTCAGTGGTAGTTGTGAAAGTCTTCATGGTAAAAAAAAAAATCTTAGCTAATATTAGTTACACAAATCAGTTCTCTGAGTTTGTTTATATGTGTGGTAGATACGTAATTTTCATGAACTAAAAATCTGAGTTCTAAAGTACTGCATAGATTTTTAGGGCAATTGGTTGTATCGATTTAGTTCTAAGAGTCAAAAGAGTCATATTTTCAAGTTTAGATACTTTGTATTTTTAAATTATAAAAAATTTATTTTCAGGAATAAAGAAAAAAGTAAACTATATCTTTCTTACACTGATCATTTTATTATACTAAGAGAGAATTTATAATTTTAACTTTATTTTGTGTCTTAAAATTTACTAAGTTAAATGTTAACCCAGTTTTACTGCCATATTTTACCAATAAGTATTTTTTGCATCAGCAACATTATTTAACTTTATTAACTAGCATAAATAATATATCACTGGACCTGAGGACTTAAATTATTTTCCAAAGTGACAATTCTAAAATAATTTTCCATTTTTTAGAACAGATATTTTTAATCTATTAAACAATCATAATAAAGGTTTTCCTATTCCAAAGATAATTTTCACTTCAAAAATCCTGTATAAGCTGAGTATATTCAAGAGCAAAGACATGAAGTTTTAATAAAATATATAGAAATGACTGATAGGGTATAACTAATTATAAAGGCAGTGACTGAGAACTGGCAGCTTGTTTGTTTTCAGCAGTACACTTTTTGTAACTTGTCAAATATAATATAGTAAATTTATCTTTAAGGAATGTTTTTCATATTTTAGGATAAAAATTTTCAACTTATTTTGATCTTTTTTTTACAGAATTGACTAATGAAAATATGTTGCATTTAAAAATGTACACAATTGTTTAATTAACTTTATTCAGAGTGGAGTTTTTAATGACTTTAAAATCACTTTATAACCCTAGATAATATCATAAATAAAAAGCATCATTAAAAAAGTATCCATGTGGAATCTGCAAAATAACTAATGTTGGAGATTCTTAAGAAGGTGTAGATTTCCAAAAAGTAGCAATTCTGATACAATCTCTAAATCCCACAATCTCTAAAAATCTCTAAAACCCATAAGAGATAAGTTTCTTGGTTCGTATATTATTTGATGAACTCTGAATGTTTGATGGAATATGGGCCAAAAGCTGGTGTTCCAGTTACATATGTTCCTAACATTGAACTGCCTGATAATTTCTTGGTTTGCATTGTTTTGATGTGCTACTACTCCATTTGGTTCTGAAGTTAATAATGGTCGAAGATGATTTTTGGTAGGAAAGAGAAGGAGAAGAAGAGGGTGAAGATGGAGGGGGAGGGGAGGAGAAATGAAGAGGAAGAAGAAGGGGAGGAAGGCAATGGTGATATAGATTCAAGGAAATGTAGCTAATCATTCTTCACATTGCATTATATAATTACTGGTGGTGATCAAAATTATAAAAACCGTGATAATGCATAAAATAATATATGCAGGTTTTGGAATTTACTTTCCTATCAATTAAAAAAAAAAGTATTCATTGAATCAAGAAATAGTAGCTAACTCTCTCTCTTCCCAAAAAAGGAATTGTAATTTTGAGTAAAATTCAGGGTATAATTTAACCATTTTAATGATGACAACTTCTAACCAACAAAACTAACCTAACTATAATATATTGAGATTATTATTGTTATATATATTAAATGCCATTGCTATTATTCACACAAAATACCAATTTTTATAATATACAATGTATACTGATACTAAAAATTGACCAATAAGTTAAAAATTAAATTAAGAAGGCCTATAATATTTGACAGTTTCCAAAGCAAATACAGATTTTGGCTCCATATTGATTTTGGCTCCCTTCTTAAAACAGGACTTCATTCTTATATGTCTACTAATTTCGTAAAGTTGGACTTATGATATATTATCAATCTCCTCTCTACGTATTTTACAAAGTCAAAATATGGTTAACATATTTCAAATTATTTTAAATATTCAATTTATTTTAAACATTACAAATCTATATTTCACATATTTCATCAGCATATAATATAAACACACACATGACACTGCATTTGCCAAAGACAATGGTAAATTTAAAAAATATTTTCTATATACTTACTTGAAATAAAAGAATATGCCAAGTGAAATAAGCAGTGATGCAATAGATAATCCATGTCCAATTATAGTCAGGTAAAACAAATTCAGTGCAGTCTATAATTTATATGAATAAAAAAATTAAAGTTCATATCAATATTATAATACTACAAGTGTAGAAGATCCAATTCAATAGAATAAATTATATATTTTAAGACATGATCTATTAGCCTTATCATTTAGCTTGCAAACCAATACATGCCTGAATACATCTGGAATGAAGAATATCTATGCGAATTTATCCAAGACCATCAAAATTTATAAATTGTATGCCTTTATTATTTAAGAAATTAGCACTCATATATTAACTATATAAAGGAATAATTTGATTGACCTAAGTTGTATAATATACAAAACCTGAATTTTATATTTTGGAGGACATTAACAATTTTCACTCTTACTTTGTGCACCTTAAATCAAATGCTATTTGATGATTTTCATATTGTTCTTTACTTATATGCCAGATAAGGCTTTCTTTCTCACTGGGTTTCTCTTTTTCCTTTGACAAATTTGAGGCTCTGAGGCAAATCTCAATATAGTAATTTATAAGAGCCTATAATCTGTATAAACATATTCTGACTTTATCCTATTTTGACTTTTTCTTAATGATTTTTATTTGTCTATATTCTATTTATTTGTAATTTACCATTTAATGTTTATTTTTATCATTCTTTCCAAACCCTACTCTGAATAACCAAAAAATATAATTATAATGATAGCTGACAGTTATCAAGTGCTTACTATATGGTCATTAGTTTTCTAAGAAATGTCCTTGTATTAAGTCAATTCTTATGAAAATCCTGAGGGTGGGTTTATTGGGTCCCGATTTTATACACAATGAGTTTATGGCTTGTTAGGATCACATAGCTGGTAAGGGACAGAAACATGAAGTTAGATATCAGGAGTCAGTTTTAATCACTGTGACAAACTGCCTCTATATATACACACATGCAAATATACATAGGCATTTTCTATTAAAGCTTTTTGGTTATGGCAACCTGTGACTAACCTTGACTTAATGTAACCATGACTTTCAAGTGAGGGTGACCTAATAGCCAGTCAGAATGAAAGCCTTCTGCTGACGGACAGATAGAAACTGTTTTAACTCTGCTGGTCTTACTCTTGTATACTTGAGCACAATTCCTGAACATAACTCTAGAAAGTCCACCACAAATAAAAATTTTCCTTTTTCTTATACTTCTAAAGTGTTTTTTTTTCCTGTAGAAAATTTGAAACTCCAATACTGAGACATTGACTTGTAAATATAGTATTACCTAGCAGAATTACTTCATTATTGTAACAGAATCAATAATAATTATTTCTACAAAGATATTTTGCTTACTGTTCTTCTCAAAGTATATTATGAAAAGGCTTTACAATAGAATGGAACACTAGCTAAAATTTCTCCAATAATGTATTGGTAAATAACTTTTAAAATAGCGTAAATTAAATTTTAATTATAATTGTTAAGTACCTTCACTTTCTCCTGTATGTCAACATTACACTGGGTGTAATTTGTCCATGTTCTGTTGCTATCTGGATGTCTAAACCAGTTTCCGTTTTGATCACAGATCTTTGTAACTTTTTCTTAAAATTAAAAAAGAAAAAAAGAACAGTAATTTAGTTACCCTAAGTTTATTAAATAGATATAAAGGAGATTATACATAAATTTCTGCTATTACCTGAAGGATCAAAGTCCTGAAAGTAATCAGGACAATGCTGCATTGATTCTGTTCCAGCTGCCACATCATTCCAGCACAGCCAGCCATCCCAGGTTCTGTTGCAGTAAATGCCTTAGAGGAGAGTAAAAATTAGGGATGCTAACTCCTTCTAGGTATACATGAAGAAAAAAGTCTTAATGGTTTCACACTGACATGGGATAAAGACTGTCTACTGAAAATAAAGACATCATATAAAATCTAGTCCTGCACTGCTTAACAATGAAGATACGTTTCTGAGAGATGCATTGTTAGGTGATTTTGTCTTGTGCCAGCATCATAGAGTGCACTTACACAAACCTAGATGATATAGCCTACTATACTCCTGGGCTCCATGATATGCCACCTTCATATATGCAGGTCATCATTGACTAGAATGCCATTATGAAGTGCATGACTGTACAGCAATTACTTGAATTTTTCACCAAATAATTATTAGAATAATTAATTCCTAAATTAAATTTAGAAATATCTGAGAAAATACATGAAAAGTTCAGCTGAATGTTGCATTTGATGTTTATTTTAATAGATTTGCACAGCAACCTCAGAATTAATCTGGCCCTCGAGGGCCATATTGACCTAAATAAGGATTGGCCTAAATATCTAAATAATTCTATTTAAAAAAAAAAAAAAAAAACCTCAGATAATCTCATTTCTTTCCTGTGATATTCAAATATTTTTTTTAAATAGCTTGATTCCATAAATTACTAAATAAAATACATTTTGTAGCCTATCAGAGAAAAATTTTCCAATATTTTAGAAAGCTTCTCAAACAATTCTTTTCAATTTACTGCTCCAGAAGATTCCATCTGATTAGTGACAACATTGGCAGTATAATAAATTGCAAGGTCCAGAATTTTTCAAACTGTGTTATATAGCATTAGAGTAAGAAATGGGTAGTGTTCCATTAAAAAGTTTCTGTGGTCAAATAGACTCGGGAAACACTACATTAAAATATAGATTTTTTATTGCAAGACTTCCTAAAATAATCAAAATTGCAAAGTTCTAATAGGAAAGTCTATTATGCAGTGATCCTAAATTTAGTTTGTCAAAAAATTATTATGATACCCTCATGCAGCTATTCCTGCTAAATGTTAAACAATGAAACCTACTTTTACATATATCTAGATGATCTGGAAGGATTTAATTCAATAGTTTTAAGCTAATAACAGATTTTTATGGAATTAAGTGAGAAGCTGAATCTTAATAGTATTCAACAAATACTATTCTCACAAGCAAGTTCATTTTGACAGTTACAAATAATAATCTACTTTTAACATTTTATTTACATAAACATTATATATTATACTATCAAATATTTTTCCTAAAATGTTAAGATCTGTTTGTACTGATAGTTTAAAAATTTAGAAATATCTAAACTCTTTACATTTAGCTTTGTTTTATTGTGAATTTTGCATTTTATATTGTGAAGATAATCCTGTCTTGAGGATTTCCAGATTAAATGCAGGGCTTATTTTTGTTTTTATTTTTTTTGTTTTTGCTAAATCTTAATGGAAATAGAAGCACTTAGACTTCACTAGCTCTGCTACTAAATGTACTATTCAAAGTATAGTTTATGCAAAAGTAAATTGTGTTTGTCATTTTATTATGCAAACTCCTATCAAGCAGCTTGTTAAAAAAATAGAATTACATAAACTGAAGATCAACTGTCACTTATTTAATTCAAGACATATATTTGATATTTTAAATATTTATACCATAAAAATGTTATAAAAACATCCCTGTTGCACAAAATTTTATTAGAATTTTATAAAAAAGATAAATTATGTCATAAAATAGTCTTCAAAATATATAATTAAAACTGCCCATATACCAGAAAAATTAGCAACTAACTCATTTTTAATAATGGACCAAAGAAACTCATAATGATGTAATGGGGTGGTTTTCTTTTAAAAATAAATCAAATGCATTTAAAATTAAAGTCATTTACCTTCTGTTTGTTGAATGGGGTCTTGCATAATTTTCTGGTAACATTCATATTGAGCCGTCATGATTTTATTTCTAGTAACGCCCAACTGATTTGGGTTATAAGGGCTCTCTTGTAATTCCGCTATGACAAGAATCTAAGGAATTAGAAAAAAATAAAACTTCAGAATTGTGAAAATGTCTATTGTAGGCAATCTGTCACAGTGGAAAATAGTCAGTGTGGTGATGTCCTGCCTGGTCACCTGGCTCAAGGGGGAAATCCTTGATTGGTAGTGTTTGCCAGTATCCACAGTAAATATCCCCTATCTTGTTCAATTTCCAGCAACCAATAAGACATTGCCAATGGCAGAGTAGGGAAAACAGTCGACATTTGGCTCTCTATAGAGGCTGGCCCTACACATGTGTTGTGGAATGCAGACTGAGCTATATTCAAAATCTACCACTGCTTTTTCAACTGCTCTGTGAATGTAGGCAAGATATTGAACCCATAAGCCTCTGCTTTCTTATTGTAAATGGGATAAAGTAGTATCACAATAACGGAGGGGAGTATCTGGCACATGATAATGCTCAAAATTGTTGCCATTTTTATAATTTGATTTTGATAAAATAATAACAAGTTCATTTGTGATGTAGGTAAATAGAATTTTTATTGTGTGCATGTCAATAAAGGTTTTGATATGCACATCAAATACAAGGTATATATTTATGTTCTTCCGATTTAGTAGCACTACTTTAAGCTTCACTTCCACTTTTATATGACATTTTCCCCATTTTATAATGTGAAGCATGTATATGTCTACAACTTTATTTCTTCTTCATTTTTGCATTACTTCTATTGGCTATTTTCCATAAGTAGTTATCTTTCTACTCTTATTTTGTCTACATATTCTTGGTTTTCTGTTCTCCAGCGGGTAGTTAAATTTGGTATAATCTAAATAATAATATTCTCTCATTGTGTGGCACCACTCAAGCTTCACCATCAACTGACCACTATTTAAAATTTACTCTTTCATTCCTTGATTGGTTTGAATTTCCTAATAGAGATTTATGCAGCAGTTGCACTGCACAAGTAATAAATAAAATTTAACAGCATCAAAAACATTAATATTTTTTCTCCTGCTCTTACAAAATTTATAGAAATGCATAAAATCAATATCATTTTTTATTCTTAAATAAAAAACTTACATTTACATACTGTCTGAGAAATAATCACAGTTTCTTAATTGACAATCATTGGATTGGTAATCTATTACAGAATTACCTGCTGGAAACCAATGTTGGCTGGTGCAGCTCATTGGCACACTCAATAGAGAGTGTGAGCTGAAGAAACAGGAGTCCTGTTTCTTGAATTCTAGTCTGTTTACCCAAGATAACATCTAAGAAGTGTAGAA